AAACACACACCATCTGAAGGGGCGTGGAGCACTGATGTCGAGAAGACCCTTTTGGTGAGAGGCCAAGTGTTGCCATAGAATAGTCTCATAACCAGCTCAAGAAAACACAATTCTGCTTTTTAATGAAACTTACAAAAATGAGTACAGCATAGCAGACTTCCTTGTAAACTTGGATCATGTACCTTTGAAAAGTGAGCTATTAAAATATTAACAAGTCTTTCCCTGAAGTTAAATCTGCAATAACACCCACCTCCCTCCAAAATCCACAAAGCTGTCTTCCTAAAAAGCTGTGTTTACCCTATTGCCACATGGTGGTGACATTGGCTGGTCATGGACAATGGGCCATTTTGTAGGGTTTTGCTTTGGATCTTGCGAGGTGTTTGGGAATGCATGCCTTGAATAAAAAGCTCCTGTCTGCATATTCAGACACCTTCTGCAGCAGGGGCACAGTTCACAACGCACACACACAACCCACACAACCCCTGATACTGCCTCCTGCCGTCTGGCCTGAGCTGTTTGTGGGACATCTCTGTCTTCTCCCGTTTCTTTCCTTGTTGATCCCCATTTCCCCTTGAGTGACTTCTCTCTTTGAAAACTCCTTCAAAGTTTTGGGCTCTGCCATCGATAAGCACAAGCTGACTAAACTTCCTATCAGCATGTTCTTTTCTTCTTACTGGAAACGAAGGGACTCCTCTTGACCAGGAGGGAGGATCTTCCCCTGTTCCTCCCTCCCTTCCTCCCCTGGGGACTGAGCACTTGACTCTCAGGTACATGACACGGGGTGGGAGAGAAGTGCTTAGCCCTCAGCTTTGCCTCTCACAAAGAAGGAGGCACCATCACCCCACGTTTAGTATCAGGCTCCCCCAACAGAGAGGGAGGGTGGCAAGGCTGGAGGGTGAGGCCCTCCCCCTTTCTGACAGCCAGGATCCATCCACGCTTCTGTTTCAATTTCCTCCAACCCCTTCTCAGAAGACTCCACATCCCCTATTCAAAGTCAAGTCTGTTTTGCAGTGGGAGTGAATATGTTCTCTCCTCTAAAGTATTAATACTTTCAGTCTGTCAGCCTTCCAGGAACTGAGGATGTAGCCTGGTGAACAGTGAGCGGCCCCGAGCAAGGTCCCACCCACCAGGGGTCAACCCCACCCTAGTCCAGGGGTGAACCCCACTCCAGTGAGCCCTCCCCTCTTTGGGTTGAGCTGTGGTGGCCAGGAAGAATTCAGGCTGGCAGGAGTCTTCGAGATGGGGACCTCCACCAAAGATCAGTATTTCCAAGCTCCCTTTCCTCCTTTTCTTTCCACCGACCAAGGGGTCTTCTCCAAGGCTCACGTTTAGTTCACTAGATGGGCAGCTCACACTGACGCCTACGGGCCGTTTGTCGTGCTCACATAACACGTGCGTGCTGTGTGAGTGTGCTCATGCCTGTCCTGGGTGGGATATCATCTGTATAATCTGGAAAATGCGAGCTCTGGTAAGAATGTCAGGGCTGAGGAGCGAGGTAGAAACGGAAGTTACCCACGAGGACTTCACAGCCAAGGTGGTGGGGGCAAGTCCGGGGCTGCAGGGGTTCAGGCAGAGCTGGGACACCCAACTGCCACTCGGTGTCTCCTCCCTGAGGTCCTGTTTGTCCGCAAGAGGAGCAGGTGCACCTGCTGGCTCCTGGGTGCCCTCACCTGGCACGGGGCCCGGCTCTCCGGCAGAGCTCAGTGAGTACTTGTGCAGGAGCCATCACACCGATGGCCACTGGTTATTAAGCGTTTACCATTACCGGGCACAGCATCAAGTGCTTTATCTAATTCTCTCAGTTAATCCTCTCCGTTAATGAAGCGAGACAGCCTTGCTCTCCCTGTTTTATAGACGAGGAAAGATTAAGCAAAGCGGCCCAGGTCATGCAGCCAGTAAGCTGCAGGGTTGTGCTTTTAAAGTCCCAAATAAAACCCCCCGGGGCTTAATGTCCGCCTCCACCCGTGCCTGCCCATCTCTCTGCTTGGAGGCCAGAGGTCTGGTTTCCTCAAACTGAGGAAAGAGGAAAGGAAAGAAGGGTCCTTGTCTCCATGTCCCACACCACCATCTCCATCTTAGTCTGGAACAGTCTCGGAGCCTGGGAAGCGCAGTGCCTAAACACCAAGGTCAAACAGGCCCACCCTCACAGGGCCCCAGGTCTTGCTGTGCCCACCCAGGCCTTGGCTAGCAGGCCCATGAATGGTGCTGTCTATCCATGAGAACCGTCCACCTTACCTGCTTGAGCCGAGCCGAGGGGCCCGTGTAGGTGGGGCTGACTCTTCCCTGTCCTGCCTTCCCTTGGCTTGGCCAATGAGGTTCACTCTCAGGGCCCCTGGCAGTCCCGGGGTCCACCCTCCTGAGAAGGACAGAGGGGGCTTGGGATGGCCTCACAGGTGAATGTGGATCTGGTTCCAATGTTGGGTCCGCACTTCTGTTGCCCCTGGCTCCAGGATCGTGTGTTCCCCGATCTCATTTTCACTTTATCTGAGGTTTCTCTCCCTCTGGCGTATCATGAAGGTTGGCCCACGGGCAGCAGAGGCTAGATCACTCAGGAAGGATGAAGCTGTGCCAGAAAAACATTAGCCCCAGCATCCTCGCCGGCCAGGCCCACAGGTCCCTGGGGTGGCTCCCTCTGGGCCCTTTGGGAAGTGGAGCTCTCCCTGGAGTGGGGCGCGGGTCGGGGCCCTGCCAGGCTGCTCTGGCAGCTTCCTCTGCTGGGCAATAGGTAGCCCGAGGCGAGTCTGATCTCCGCAGTGGGTGGGGGCTTCTGAGCCCAGCTGGTCCTCGTTGGTTTCCTTCTTCCCATCTCAGCACAAAGTCAAGGTGGTTGTTGACCCTCAGAGAGTTCAAGGCAGCAGCGACATCTCCTGGCTGATACTATCCCAGTCCCCGTGGTCCCGCCCCACCCCTAAGCCTGCTACCACCCATCTCACACCTCCCAGGTCTGTAGGGCACACGCGCCCCATTCATTTAGGGGCGGTAACACTTCCTCCTGTCAGACACCGAGACCTACGGCCCTCGGCCCCTGGACACAGGACAGGGGTGTATAAATAAGATAGATATTCACAACACAGACTCTAGGACCCCAGGCGAGTAAGTCTTATCGTGTGTCATGTGGCATTGTGTAAGTTGTTGCAAATCGCTGAGAATCCAGTATATGGTCATGACACAAAGACAAGATAAATAGTGTGCAAAATTCAATGGTATAATGTAATGCTTGAGTGTCCAAACATCTACCTGTGATCCTTCTTCTTACCTTCCTTTGCCATAAGTTTATCACTTTAGGTAAAAGTTGTTCCTCTTCTTCGTCTGTTGATCCGGGGATGGTAATTAAAAAATCAACATCGTGCCCAATCTTCTTACCCCTGACCAAAAAAAAAAAAAAAAGTATAGAATGGAAATCAATTAGATTTTTAGCTCTCAGTTTTTACAACTCACTTTTGTTTCTATGCCCTATGCTCAACGTTTGCAACACAAAATGCTCGTGATATTTTTTTTTTAAACAAAATATCCTTGATCGCACAACTCTACTCCTTGCAAGATAAATTTATGACATAGAAAAAGTCACACATAGTACGTATATGATTATATATGTGTGGGTAAAAATAACACAGGAAGTGATCCCTTCTGCATACTCACATGTGCACACCCACCCCCACATGTGCACACAGACAGGCAGATCAGAACCGGTGACCAGAACTGAGAACTGCATGCACACAATACGAGAGAGGGTTCTCCAAATCATGGTATTGACTGAAGGCATTTTCTTAGATTTGATCTTCCTCTCCCACTTGCTCCCTCACTTCAAACTTGGCTTGCCAAGATGGCCAATAGCTAACAGGTAAGAGGGCCACAGAGAGAGCTGGAGGAAGGGGTGGGAAGGAAGGAATTTCTTTCCGAAAAGGAGGCCTCAACATCCAACAACTGCACACATCTCTGTGAAGAGTTCATTCATTCATTGACTCAGCCAGTATTTCTTGAGCACCTATATTTTGCCAGGCACCGGGTTCTCACAGAGGACTAATTTCTACAAACTGTGTGAGGAAAGCATGCATACAAACAAATTACTTGACAGGTAGCACTGAGGAGGGGTGCCTGGCTGAGCATGGCACCTGAACTGAGTCATAAAAGATGAGGAAAAGTCAGCCAGGTGACAATTTGAGGAAAGCCAGTGCAAACACGGAAGGGTCTGACTGGGCAAGTCACAGAAGCATGAAATAGCTCCATGTGTGCAAAGAAAGACAAGCCATTTGGGGTTGCTGAAGTGGAAACCCGAGCTACGGAAGATGAGGCCACCGAGAGAGGCTGTCACCAGATCACCAAAGGCCTTTGTGCCGTGCTTAAAACTGAACTGAACTTCTGAAGGTGGGGAGCCACTGAAGGTGTTAGAGCAGGGGAGGCAAAAGCAGCCCTCGTTATCTACCTCCGGAATCCTCCTGTCATGGTGACGAAGGCATCAGGCAGAAACGCCCAGACGGCCTCTTTAACCAGCACACCGACTGCCTCTGCTTCTGCCCTGGTCACACAGCTGACGAGGTCTTCATAATAGAGGAATCCTGAGGGGCCATTGGACAGGTCAATGGAGAGAGTGACACGTGAGATGACCAGCCCTCTGTGGGAGGTGATTCCGCCCCCAAATAGAGTAAACATGACCACAGGCATCAACAAACTGTTTCCACAGAGATGGGAAATCTTTACTCTCTTGGTTGTGAATTTTTCATGGTAATGATGACTCTTCGCTTTCTGACTTGTAAGAGTCTTACAATTTCCTGACTAAGAAAGAGACTATATTTCATATCCCTCTAGAAACCAAGCTGTTCAAATATAGCTCCTTATTGAAGAACCAGCCTTCTTAATAAACTGTGCCCTATAATTATTTACAGATCATGCATAAAGATTTACGATGGAAGCTCAGGCCGACTTGCTATAATGACTTGGTTATTCCCACAGACCCAAGGAGGGAGCTTCCTCCAAAAATTAAAAATAGAACTACTGTGTGATCCAGCAATCCTGCTTCTGGGAATACATCTGAAGGAAATGAAAACACCGTCAAAGGAATATACACACCGCCATGTTCATAGCAACATTATTCACAATAGCCAAGACATGGAAACAACCTAAGTGTCCGTCAGTGGATAAAGAAATTGTAGTGTGTGTGTGTGTGTGTGTGTGTGTGTGTGTGTGCGCACGCGCGCATGGAAATAGGAGGATTATTCAGCCACTAAAATGAGGATATCCTGCCATTTGCAACAACATGGATGGACCTTGAGGGCTTTACGTTAAGTGAAATAAGTCCAAGAAAGACAAATACTGTATGACGTCACTTATGTGTGAAATCTAAAGACAAAAACTCATAGAAGAGAAATCAGACCTGTGGTTATCAGAGGCCAGTGCCGGCAGAAGGGGAATTGGAAGAAGGTGATCAGAAAAAGGTACCAGCTTCCAGTCCTAAGATAAGTAAGTACCAGGGATGCATGTACAGCAAGTTGGCTACAGCCAACACTGCTGGGTGCGTCTTGCTCTTTCGAATCCCAATTATATTGTATTTCGATTGCATGTTAAAAATAAATGTTTAAGGGGCGCCTGGGTGGCGCAGTCGGTTAAGCGTCCAACTTCAGCCAGGTCACGATCTCGCGGTCGGTGAGTTCGAGCCCCGCGTCGGGCTCTGGGCTGATGGCTCAGAGCCTGGAGCCTGTTTCCGATTCTGTGTCTCCCTCTCTCTCTGCCCCTCCCCCGTTCATGCTCTGTCTCTCTCTGTCCCAAAAATAAATAAACGTTGAAAAAAAAAATTAAAAAAAAAAAATTAAAAAAAAATGTTTAAAACGTGTACAATTTTTGGCCCCTTATTGGCATTTCTTCATTAGTGCCAATTAATGCCAAATTCATTTTACCAGAGCCCCCCCCGTAAATGGAAGCGTCCAAGCCACCACCTTCAACCTGCGGGAGGTCCTGCCGGGCTGTCAGCTGCCTGTCTCAACACAGTGTTCTCTTCTCCGGCTGGTCGGTCATGAGCGGGTAGGTCAGCCCTGTGCCTAGATTTTCATGCTTTCCCTTCTATTTCCTGGTATCTGACAGTGTCTAACGCAGATCCACATTTAGTCCAGCAATGACTCTAGTTCGTTGAAATATTTTTGACTCCTCAACCTTCATGTCTCTTTCGTGCGCATGACTCCTCCACTCCTCGTTTCACCCACAGGAGACAGTCAGGACCCAAACATCTAGAGCCAGTTCAGTAAGAAGTAGATCAACGGCACAACCCTGTTTGACATCTGGATGCAGGAATGACAACAGCCACTATGCAAAGCGTCTTTGCTTATGCCACGCGAGGTGCTAAGGACTTTGCCTACGTTATTTGATTTATTCCTCGTTAACTACCAGTGTTACCTCCCTTTTATAGATGAAGTAACTTAGGCTCAAAGACTTGAACAAGCTTGCTTGATCTTGCAGCCACAGAATGTTGGAGCCAGGATTTGGATCCAAGTCTGTCTGATTCCAAAAGCTTGTGCTTTTAACCATAGTGCAAGAAAGAGGATGAACAAGTTACCCAGCTCACTGAGACTGGACTTGAAGTTCAGCTAACTCAGAGCCCTACCGCAACCTGGCCAGCCCATGGCAACATCAGGAGATCCGTAGGAGAGACAATTTACCTGCTTTCTGCATTTGTGTGAACTTCAGGGTTTTGTCTGACTTTATTTTACTCAGAGTTCGGAAACCCATCCTGAACCATTTCTCAGATGTCTTCAATCCCACTCCAAACACAGAAGTGAAGAGCTGAAACAGGGAAAGGCATGCCTTTAGTTTCTGACATGACCGTTATGACAATGAAGTGACACTTTTCAAGGTCAAGGGATTAGGAAAACAGTGTAAGCATACTTCTGACCCAGTTTCTCCTGCATATGACAAGTGGGTGGGTGATGGTAACTTTTTACAGAGCTTTTTGTTTCAGGGGGGTCCTTTCCTGACCTATGGTGTTACAGTGGCTGGCATCTGCATAGGCTTCCGTGTAATTTGACCGCCCTTTGCCTGTTCCGTCCACGTGTGACCACAGCTTTCCCTACCAGGCACTCCCCTTGGCCAGGGGTCCCTTACGCACACTCATGCGCTGCGGTTTTAAGAGGGATGCTCATGTAGGTTGTATGAATTCTCTGCCGTCACTCAGCTGGTAAGCGGCACAGCCCAAACTCAAATCCAGGCTGTCTGCACTCCAAGCCTGGGCTCCTGCCCACAACCAGCTTTTAGGCCTTTGCATCACTCCGGAACCAAAGGGACGGGCAGAAATCTCTGCCACCCTGAACTCCAAGGTGGGGAACACTGCGGGGGAACCAAGCCCTGCTTCGAAGTAGAGAAGGACACAGTGGGGAGCTTCCAACACAGGTTTGCTCCTTAAGAGCAGGTTTGTTTTGTCCCATGCTCCCAGTGTCCCCATGCTATTTGTGCCCATGAGTGACAGATCCTAGAAGATCCTAGAAGATCTCACCACGGCATGGCAATACGCTTGTGCACCCATATTTATTTTGGCATCTGCTTCCTAGACCACTATTATGGACTCACCGTGCCCCCTTCCACTCATATGTTGAAGCCCTAACCCCCACTGTGATGGTGTTCGGAGATGAGGCTTTTGGAGGGAATTAGGTTTAGATGAGGTCATGACTGTAGGGCCCTCATGATGGGGTTTGTGCCTTACTAAGGAGAGGCACCATGGGATTTGCTCTCTCTCTCTGTGTGTCATGTGAAGGCACATTGAAAAGGTGCCAGGAAGAGAGCCCTAACCACAACCCGACCGTGCTGGCACCCTGATCTCGAACTTCCAGTCTCCAGAACTGTAAGAAAATAAATATTTGTTGTTTAACTCACCCAGTCTGTGGCATTTTGTTATGGCAGCCCAAGCTGACAAACCACCTACATTAAGTAACGGGGTTAACTGAAAAACCATTTTCAGCCAACACCTGTAAAATTACTTACTTTGAAGGACTGATATCGTTCATCATTTAACACAGCTTTAACTTCAGAACTTTCTCCATCTTCAATAATTTCCTGCGCGGACAGTTGAAAAAATTGTTAGGGGCACTTGGCGTGGCTCCGTCTGTTAAGCATCCGACTCTTGATTTCAGCTCAGATCACGATCTCACGGTTTGTGGGACGGAGCCCCGCGTCGGGCTCTGCACTGGTAGTGCGGAGCCTGCTTGAGAGTCTCTCTCTCCCGTCTCCCTGCCCCTTCCATAGACATGATATAACATCTATCTATCTGTCTGTCTGTCTATCTCACATCTGTATATTACCTGCATTCCCTTCCCCCTCCTGCCTGCTATTAGGAAGCAGGACAAATCACATTTCACCCTTACCTCTATGACACACTTCACTTTGTCCCCCAGGCAGGGAATTCCTTCTGTGTCCTTCATACTGATGATTGTGAATGGCAGAGATTTAAGCACAGAAGCTGCTCTCATAAATGTCGCAGAGGAGATTTCATTTTCTTTAAACTCATAGTTTTCAGCCAGCACCTCGAAGGCGTCCTGAAGAACAAAACCAGGTGAGCCAAACACGGCCTGTTCCGAGCCCCTGAGCTAGTAGTCACTTGCAAACACCTGTTGCCCTTCATGAGTGTTGAAATACCTCCTGACAGTCTCCTCGAAGGGTGGGATGGGGTCTCCCATGTCTTTGCACCCCTCCCTTGCTATGAGAGGAGCTGAACTGAAAAGACGGGTCACAGAGTGCTTCGTAAGGAAACTTTGAGTTTGATGCCATTAGATATTCAGGAGCGATTCAACCAAAACCTGATCGCATGCTCACTGCACCCCTACTCGTCATTGCTCAGCATGACCCTGCCCTCTTTCCTTGCAGGCTTCCCCACCAGCGTGTGTCCGGGGTTCTGCCTGGATCACTGGGCACCTTCATCTCTCAGCTTGTATGTAAAACACAGTCAGCACTTAACATGGCAACAGAGGGGCGTGATCACAGGACACGGACCCAAGGCGGGTTGTTTCAGGTAGGGCGCATTTGCATTTCTAGCAGAGGAGGAAGTAGCTACAGCTGTGTGGCATCATGCTTCCGTGCCCAGTACTGCAGTTTCCTGTTCTTCCTGGCAGATGTGGGGCTGGAAGTCTCGAAATGAGAAGTTTTGTAGTTGATACCCTACCACATGTTTTAACAACCTGACTACTTTCTCTAGGCTGGAGAACGAGCAGCTGTGGACCTGTGAGGGTCATTTGAAATGCAACTGCCAAACTTCAGGCCTGGGTGGGGCTTTGGAGACAATCTGGTTAATTTCTAGTTGAATGGGTGAGGAAACCGAGGCTCAGAGAGAGGAACTGACTTGCCCGAGCTAGTTAAGATCAGAGAGGTGAGAATCCAGGCCTGCTGTCTCTCAGTTGCCTGGTTACCCAGCAAAGGCTGTTTATGCATTAGTGCTGTTTCTTTGTAACTTGCTCTTACTATGTTTTGGACTACAGTATTTGGTTTTTCCAAATATTTGCCTTTGACAAGTGTGCCCCAAAGTGACAATTCTCATCAAATAGTAATTTACCATCTCTAAACAATATAAATATATTTCTGATTGTATTTGTCCATGTCTACAACAGAAGTAGATCCATTCTGGACTGAAATAAGAACCAGAGATCAGGCCGGGGGTGGGGGGGAGTGAGTGAATGTGGGGGGTAATTTTCCTAGATATTCAGAAAATTACACAATTGAATTTGCAGATCCATGGGGGCGCCTGGGTGGCTCAGTCGGTTGGGCGACTGACTTCGGCTCAGGTCACGATCTCGAGATCCGTGAGTTCGAGCCCTGCGTCGGGCTCTGTGCTGACAGCTCAGAGCCTGGAGCCTGTTTCAGATGCTGTGTCTCCCTCTCTCTCTGACCTTCCCCCATTCCTGCTCTGTCTCTCTCTGTCTCTAAAATGAATAAACGTTAAAAAAAAAATTAAAAAAAAAAAGAATTTGCAGATCCATGGAAAGACGCTGCAAGCCCTTCATTTGCTCTAGGGGTTGTTGTAGAGCCCCTTACCGTGAATATGTGGTTAAAGTTGTTTAAAGTGGTTCTTCTCTGACATGCATACAGAGGGATCTTTTTTACAACAAGTGGCGGAGTCTTCTGGAGCTCTGGGTTTGGGCTAGCTGAATAATCTCTTCTCACCTAAACAAATGCGGAAGCATCCGTTTTTAATAGCAATCAATAGTCATAATCATAGATATTATGAACGAGAAAAATTGGAGGTAGTCTGATGGCAATTGTCCCTGGAGAGGATAAAATTATAGGAGAGTCAGATTTTATGTTACATGCATCTCTAACATTTGCATTTGCTACAGTTTACATGTATTGTATTTTTTAAAGTTTATTTGTTTGTTTTGAGCTGGGGAGGGGCAGAGAGAGGGAGAGAGAGAATCCCAAGAAAGTGCTATACTGTCAGTGCACAGCCCGACACGGGGCTCCATCCCACGAACTGTGAGATCATGACCTGAGCCGAAATCAAGAGCTGGAGGCTTAACCGACCGAGCCAACCCAGGCGCCCCAACATGTGTTATTTTTGCAATGAGAAAAACAAACGTGCAAAGAACCATCAATTAAGTACCATTTTCCTTTTCCGCAAACTCATGTACTCATGGTCTGAACCTTCTTCCCGCGGGTTCTAGCATTAATGGTGAAGGACTTGGAATTAAGAGATTAATTTTCATCAGTTTTTCTTTATGAATGATGACAGAAAAAAAAAAAATAGGAAGCCTCTACTTTTCTGGTTACCAGAACATCAAGGCTTCCACATTCTGAAATATTTGTGCATAGTGTTGTTCATAAAAGCAGCTATCATTTATCAGCTGCCTGTCATAGATCAGGCTCTGTGGTAAGCGCTTTACACGTATGTTACTCTAATTCCCTAACCATCTTGTGAGGTAGTTTCTTTTGCTGTCTTATATCATAGAGGAGGAAACTGAAGCTCAGAAAACCCGAGTGACTTTCCCAAGGTCACACAGGGAGAAGGCAGACCGCCTGGGGGTTAAGCTCAGGTCTGTTGATTCTATAGCCCATGTTCCTAATCGTCAAGGAAAGGGCAAAGAGGATTAACCGTAACACTTACAAGCTGGTGTTTTCCTGTCACCTCTACTGGTTTTCCTGCTCCCATGGATTCTATCAGCCAGGAGATGTCCAGGAGCTCTAGCTGTGAGCTGGCTTTTACATTCTGTACCTGCAGCCACTCTAGGACATCTGAGCCAGAGTTGTTTTCTGCTACAATGTGCGTGACGGAATCACTGCAGAATGCAAGAAAAAGCTATCAGCTGAGGGGGATTTCAAAAGGAGAAGGGCTCCTCTTACCTCGAGGTGTTCAGAACATCCCATCTGACGAAGAAAGACGCATACTAGACCTGACCATAGGCACAGACGATTTAGGCCTCCAGGGAAGGGAATTCTACATTAATTAGTGTAGCCACAGTGGTCGATGTTACATGTCAGACACAAGAAAAATTAAGAAAACATTAACAGAATTGTGGTGTCGATGGAAAACCAAAGTCCAGAGATGACAGAAGATGAAATTTTTCTTCAAGTAGCACCAAGCATTCCACATGAGGCTTCGGTATGCCATTTCGTATTTATTTGTAGAGGACTTCAGTCCAGTGTCGTTCAAACTGTCTATGACCCACAGTTAGAAATACGTTTTATATTATGACCTAAAATAAAAATATAGATACATGTAGATATGCTTCTAACATCTCATTAAATTGATCTCACAGCCCATTAATAGATGGTGACCAGCTTTGGGGAAGTATTACATGTTTATTCAAAGCACAATCTTGTGACGGAGGGTAGGCAGGAAGCTTTCGCCTAATAATCACTGAGCACTTAACCATGCTTCGGCTCCATCCAAGTACCTTACGCCCATCATCTCATTTGATACTCACAAAGTTCCTCAGGCACGTGTTATGTTATTCATACTTCAAAAACGAGGAAACTGAAGAACAGAGTTTAAGTGACATTCTGAAGGCCACACAGCTAGTAAATGGCCTTCATCCTTTCTGATTGTCTTTTTTGGGGTCAAGTAGGTTATTTCTAGTTTTTAATAAGTCTTCACGGTCAGCATGATATCCTTGGAACCAATGTGTTTTCAGGCTCTTTCAGTTCAAATAATCTATGAATCTGGGAGATAGCAAGATGCATATTTGGGCATCCAAGAGAAAAATAGAATTCTTTTCTCTTTCCTACTTCTCTTCCTTGACTTCCTCTTGCTTCTTCTCCTTTTTTGATTGACTCTTAGATGCACTGGGTATTTTTTTGTTGACTGTTGTATTCACAGCCCAGGTTCCTTGTGGTGGCAGTGGTGACAGTGGTAAGAAGTTGGAGTTTCCAAAGAAGGAAAGGGAAGTTTGTGGACATTAGTATCTTATGTGAGACAGATGGTTAACGATATGTTATGACAAGGCATAAAGCATGGACAAGATTTGCAAGTGGTGTGCAGAGAAGGAAAAGAGCTGGTGTGAGCCGGTGTGAGCTGGGAGAGGCTGGCTGGCTTTGTGGAAGGAGGGGTTTGTGTCCACTGATGGATGGGGAGGGATAGGAACCTAGATGGCAGAACTTAGGGCCCTCCTGGAAGAAAAGGTTCAGAGGCCAGAAGAAAAGTAGGGGAATGGCCTGGATCAGAGTGAAGAGTTTATGTTGGGAAGTAGTTGTCGATGTGGCTGGGTCGGTTGGGGCAACCAGGTTATAGAAGGTCTTAGAAGCCTCATTTGGGAGGTTGGATCTTATTTTCTGGGGTTGTGGAACCAGTGAAAGCTTTCGTGAGCAGGACACAGTGATAGCATCACTATGTTATTTAAAAAAAACTAATCTTGGAAACCAATTTGACAATAAACTTCATATATTGAAAAAAATAATAATAAAAAAAGCTTAATCTGGATGGGGGGGGGGGGGGGGGGGGGGAGGGTGGGTGATGGGTATTGAGGAGGGCACCTGTTGATTAAACTGGTGTTGTAGCCGACAATTTGACAATAATTTCTGCATATGTCTTACAAAAAATTAAAAATAATGGTGGTGTTGCCCCAAAACAATCTCTGGTCCACTGTCGTTTGAGGAGGTGATGATGGAGTGGGAGGTTGGTGGATAATTCTCGTTGGCTCCTATAGCACACACCAGGAAGGAAAGCCCAAAAAGGAGACATAGGACACACCTCACAACTATGAATTCCACCTACCTACAAGGGCTGGGGGTGGAGAACAGAGTCAACCAGCCACTCTCCGTGTTATTTGCTACAGTGATAAAGTAAAGCTTTGGTGAAATAGGGATTTCAGAAGTTGCACACCTCAGGAGAGTGGAAATGAAATTTATTTCAGGCATGCTGCATTTGAAGGATGGCAAGAGGTCCAAGTGGAAATGTCAGGTTGACAGTTGGGATCTAAGTCTGACGTGGGGAGAGGGTTGGGGGCTGGGGCGGGTAGAACCATCGGATGGCGGGATGTTGCGGCGGCAGGGCCAAGCAGAGATACATTGTGGTGGTACATCTGACAGGGGTGGGAGAAGGCAGCTCTACTCTGCATCCCTATTCTAGGTCCACAGCATTCAAAATTCTTTCTCTTCAACTTCTTGAAGAAAGGTATTTATGTGAACGAAGACAAAGAGCGCCCTGGGTGGCGCGGTCAGGTTAAGCGTCGACTTCAACTAAGTCCACGATCTCTTGGGTCTGTGGTTAAGGCCCAGCGTCAGGCTCTGGGCTGATGGCTCCAGAGCCTGGAGCCTACACAAATTCTGTATTGTCTCCCTCTCTGCTTACCTCTTTCCCCATTCATGCTCTGTCTCTCTCTGTCCCAAAAAATAAATAAACGTTGAAAAAAAAAATTAAAAAAAAAATAATAAGAAGAAGACAACAAAAGGATTAATAGAGCTACAAAGGAAGTGTTATTCCATCTAGATTTCTGCCCTTTGGAGGGAAACTTCATTATTATATTATTATTAATTGTAGTATAATATTTATTATTATTATTATTATTATTATTATTATTAAGGCTCTGTCTAAACTTCAAGGGGAGAAGTGTATGCCGAGGAGGAGCCCTGGGGCTCAACTTCCAAATTCAAGCCCCTCACCATCCACTCTCCTATCATCCCCACCCCCACTATTGCTTTCCTTGGGGCCATGTGGTAATGTGTGAGTTCACACTATTGGATGAGAACCACATGCATTTCTTACAGAGTTAATATAAGCATATTTGCAAATGACAGGTCAAACATCCTATGGAAAAAGACTGATTTAAACTTCCAACCCCTGCTCATTAAGCAATTGGCAAACAAAACAACAACAACAACAGAGCACACACACGCACACAATCAAATAGGACCTCTTCAGCCACTCACACAGAGCTACTCAGAGTTGGGGACTGCTTGTCACTGGTTCCCACAAGGTAAGCACAGAAATGGAAAGTCAGCATTTAGAAACTTTAATGGTAGTTCGACACCATCACAGTAGCTTATTGTTCGTTGTTTGTTTGTTTGTTTTTTGTTTGTTGATAAAAACATTGATCTGCGGTGAATTTTTTGAAAACTGGTCCTTCAACATAAATCACTTAAGGAACACTGTCTAGAGAATACTGTCTGTTCTAGCCCGGTCTACATTCCCCGTCTTCTTGTGTTGCCTGAGTTCGGCCAATAGACTCCTCGTGGCCACCTGGCTCTGGACTACAATGTGCTTCCTGTGTTGGGCTTGTCACACGCCCTTCGCAGACCATTCACCGTCTCTGACTGTGTTTGTTCACTGTCAGTTCTGAGCCTGTGGCATCAGCGCTCCTGGGAGAGCCACTGCCTCCCATGTGTTCTGCTGACAATTTCTCAGTGCTGTGCTTTGGCAGCTCTTTGTCTATTTGCTGGTAGAGCAATTTTCTCTCTGCTCTGAGTATGCCTATATTGGAAATATTAATAATATTGGAATATTACTGGCCAGACACCGTGGCAGGCACATTTCATGCATTCCCTCATTTAATTGTCAACAATGCTGTGAGGTAGGTAATTTCGCCCCCATCTAAGATGAGAAGAGACCTTGGGGACATGAAAAATTCACCCAGCTGATGATTGGTGGAGCAGGATTAGATAGACCCTTGTTTTGTTCTATTTTAATCCAAAGCCCGTGTGCAGGACTAAACTGAATGACCCCTCTGTGACTTCATGCTTTTTCCATGGCTGTAGAGAGTGCTGCTCCTTTTCACAGAAGGAATAACATCTGGAAGGGTGACATCATAATAAAAAACCCTGATTCCCTCCAAAGGAAAGAAACAGAGAGGCAATAACACTTTCTGTAGGCCAGTTCCTATTGGCCACACTGTCCCCGCTGCTGCACAGAATTTGTGTTTGGTGCCTTTCGTCCAACGGCATATGGACCGCAGTGAGACTGCAAGACACGCAGAACTGTCCCAGAAAATCTGAAAGAACAGTTGCCATAGCTACACAACAACATGGAGGAGCCACGGGGGTGCTGGCAGGCTCTCTGAGCTCTGAGTTTTCCTAAACCTCGCAGAGAGGCGGATATGCTGAGGTGGAGCCCCGGGGCTCACCTTCCAAGTTTGGGCCCCTCACCATCCACCCTGACCATCCCTGCTGCACCACCACTGTCTCTTCACCGGGGATGTCTCTGGACACGGCCCTGCCTCTACCAGAGACAGCCAGCATGCCCGGGGATGCGGAGGGAGGAGTGCTGGATAAGGATCCACAAAGAATATAATGTACAGGCATACGCCCAAGAAAAGACTGGAGAGAAATACTCCAGACCGTTAGAAAAAGTAAACACACACACACACACACACACACACACACACACGTGTATATTCTTGCTTAATCCTCACAAGAGTCTTACAAGGTGGGAGATATATAACTTCAGATGAGAAAACCAAGGCTTGTGGAGGTTCCGTGAAACCAGGATTCAAACCCAGCTGTGCATGACTCAAGCAATCTCTTAACGTTCCACTAGACTGTGGTTAGACCCCTGAGTGAGGTGCTGTTCAAGGGTTTTTTTTTTTTTTTGTATATTTTCCCATTTTCTGTCATGAACCCTCTATCATCACATTCTACTGAAGGGGGAAAAAATACACATGAATGTCATTTTCAAGGCCAAAACCTGGCACTGGGGCTGAGGTGGTACCTGCCTGGGTCCCAGAGTCCTGGGCTTTCTTCATATACTAAAAGGTGACAGGAGGGGGCACCTGGGTGGCTCAGTCGGTTAAGCAACTAACTCTTGGTTTCGGCTCAGGTCATGATCTTGTGGTTCGTGAGTTCTAGC